CCACGGGAGTTAGCGATCTACTGTTTCATGGCCCACAGGGATTTTGATGTGGCCAGGCTCCTCCATGACAAGATGCTCATTAGATCACCGGAGTTACTCAAAGGCTTCTACTTCCCTTCTTTAGTCACCAGGTTGTGCCGTCTAGCTAGAGTCCCTGAAGACCTTAGAGTTTATAGGAAATTGCCACTGAAAGCCCCGTTCCTGGCAAGAAAAATCAGAATTGGGATGGAGCCTGTGGTGAATGTTGATGATTCGGATGAGGAATCTGACGATGCTGATGCTCAGGCAGCTGAGGTCCCACCACCTACGAGAGTTGAAGAGGCGGGCCCATCACAGCCTCGCCACAGTACCCACCTGACAGCCCTGGAGCAACAAATGGCTGGTCTCCGCACTTCTGTCACAGACTTGGGCACTAGAGTTGACACTCTGGCCACTCAACAGGCAAAGTCAGAGAAGAAGATTATGGGATGGCTTCGAGCGCTAGGAAGAGCATGTCACCTCGATCCTGGCACCGTCTCTGATCAGGATTGATCTGCAGGGAAGTCCCCCTTCCTTACTCTTCTCTTTATTTGTTGACATGGGGACATGCCATAATCTTAAGTGTGGGGTGGGGGATGGCTGTTGTGTACGATGTTGTTGTAAATAGATTGTGTAACTTGTTGCTTTGTTTTTGATTGATTGGTATGGTAGGATCATGTAATTAAATTTGACTTGGCCCAACGACGGATCTCTTTCGACAGGGTTCTTGAGGGACATGAGTCGAACAAAAAAAAATTTGAATATATAGACTCTTCCTGATGACGGATAATGGAAACAGTTCTTGAGGGAAGTTAGTCTAGGGAAAATACCAAAAAGATTTTTTATTTTTTTTTAGGTAGTGTAGTAACTCCCCCTTGGTTTTTCTTTGGGCCACGGTTCTTTTCCAAGGGTTTAGCTTGAATCGGGTGTAGGTAGTTTTTGTTTATTTTGTTTTTTTTAGTTTTAGTTTGCATCGATGGGCTAAAGAGCTAAAATAGAAAGAGAATCCCTTGGCGTTAGTACACCTGAACACAATCGACACTAGAGTGTAACGCCTAGTCTCAATGGTTGAATCTGGCTAAAGTGCCTTAAAGTTGTATGTTTGTAGCTAACTTGAACACTCAAAAGAGAATGTCTTGATAAATCAACCCGGACTGAGTCATGTGCCATGTGTGTGTGAGCTATACTGTATTCTATGCTTTACATTTGATGCCTAGAACTTGACCTGTGTGTTTGCAAGGCGAAATAGTAGCTTCATTCAGACTTAGAAGTGATATAGGCATTTCTTTGTTAAGCCAGATATGTATAACGTAAACCCACCTGAATGTAATACATCATAGTTAACCCTGTTGAGCCTATAAGCCTGTTTCTTTGGCAACCACATTGCGAACCTTACCCAATTGTTTGAATAGCCTTCTGTTTGAACCCTTTTACCTCCCATGAGCACTTGAATGGCCTTTACATATGCAAAAGTTAAAGTGTGGGGTGGCGGTTTGGTTTTGAGTGGAGCCAAAGACATAGAGGAAAGGTGCAGTTTTGAAGAATAAAAGAAGAAGCACCACGAAGTTGATAAGTGAACAAATATAGTAGTTGATAAGTGGTAGCTTGATACAAATGCACCTAAAGGAATGGGATGTTATGAATAAATTGTGGGGAATGTCTGGTTGACATAAGAATGATATGGAATGTTAATGTGTTTGTATTAAAAGTGCTTAGGGAGGCTAGTCACTATATCCACATATATCCTACGCATCCCTTAGCCTACATTACAACCAAGTGAAGTCCTAATTGATCTTAGACTGGATAGGCTCGATTAGTAGAGTATTACACTACGGGCAAGCCTATGGTGCATCTTTGTGGCATGTGAATGTTCTTTTGGAGAGTGAGCGAATTTTTTCCATCTGAGTTCCTAATTGTTTTTAATCATATTATTTGTGGAACTACTCTCTTGTGTGATGTGAGGGCATGTGATTCACAAAGGAAAGATAAGTCTTGACTTCTATATAGAGTAGTTTGACTAAGTGACAATATTGCATGGTACGAGAGATTCAACTTCTGAGGCAAAGGTTGTACACTACTAGGTGCAACTTGGTAATTGTTCAAGGTGTGAGTCGTTAAGGGAAAAGCTTAGGGAAGGAACTTTGATAGAGTGTGGTGGATTGCTAGAGGACTAGCAATGATTTAAGTGTGGGGTGTTGATATTAGGCTATATAGATGATATTTACACCTTAATATTGCCATGCTTTATTGTTGTTTTATACGCAAATTGATAACAAAATGCTCTAATTGGTGTTCTTTTGCTTCGCATGGAATAATCTAAGTGAGGAAGCACTACGGAGTGTTTTGGAGTCAATAATGTGAAGAAAACGCCCAAATCAAGAAGTACCCGAGCATAAAGAAGCAAAAATGGACTGAGTGAAATCCACCGCGACCGCGGTGGAACCGCGGCAGATCAATTATGCGAGGCAGAATGTTCAGCATTCACCGCGGTCCTGCCGCGACCGCGGTGAACTATTCACTCGCCAGAAAGTTTGGGGACCAAAGTGTAATTCGGGGAAAACTTGTTCCAAACCCTTATAAACTTTAGAAGCTCGCCCAAGACATGTGAAGGTTGTTTTTCAGACTACTTTGGAGGCAAGAACAAGTGCGAGAAGAGCAACCAAACATTAGAGTTCTTTTATCTTCTCTTTGTTATTGTAATTACCCATTATGAATAATTTCGGAGTTTTATCTTATTTCGCTATGAGTAGCTAATTTCTTAGGCTAGGGTTTTGATGAAACCTATTGAAGGATGAACTTCTTGTTATGTTAATATAGTTTGCCCAGTTTAATCTCTATTTGTTCAACTATGTGCTTGCTGTAGTTAATTGATAGGATCCTCAATTAGCTGTGCCTATTTAGTGTGCATAACTCGGGAGAGAGTGCATATTTAGGTCAATTGTTGAACAACACCACTCCCAAAGTACATGAGGGATCAATAACTGAGGGTTTAAAGGTGGGATTAGGGATAACGAAGCCTTGGGTGCAATCTAAAGTGAGCTGTAATAAACAAAGCCAGCTAGCGTATCTCGGGAGAGTGCGTCTAGTAAATTATCCTGATTACTCGGGAGAGATTTACGGTAATAAGAGTGCTCATGATTGATAGAGATGATTAGTCAATTCTATGTGAAAAATAACCGCAAGGGATTCCATCAATAGGGGAAATCATAACCTTAGAACCTTCTCTTAATTGTTTACAACTTAATCATAGTTAGTCTTCAGTTGCTTACTTACATTCATTCTTAGTTAGTAGAAACATCCTCAATTGTTATTGAGAAAGTTTGGGAAGTTGATTACGTAGAATTTCGTAAGTCTAACGAGAGTAATTGATAGGTTAATTCCTTGTGGGTTCGACTCTGGTCTAAATACTCAGATTATATTTGCAACGTCCGCGTGTCCTTTTTATAATGCATAGTTGGGCGTGATCAGTACTCTGCAACATTGTTAGGCATGTTTCACCTGAAACAAAAGAGAATGGAAAGACTTGTCTTTCTAGAGAGATCAACACAACACCTACCCCCACACCGTTACGACGTGCAGATCCATCAAAGAACATTGTCCATGGTGGTGATTCTTCAATGAACAAAATGTATTTATCTGGAAACTCATTAGAAAGCTCCCATTCCGCTGGAAAAGGGTGATCAGCTAGAAAATTAGCTAGTACTTGTCCTTTCACAGCCTTTTAAGGTGTGTATGTGATCTCATATTGGTTAAACAATATGGACCATCTTGCTAGGCATCCAAAAAGAACAGGTCGAGTCATCACGAACTTCACGAGATTTGCTCGAGAGATGAGTTTGGTGGTGTATGCTTCAAAATAAAGCCTTAGTTTCTTTATCACATAAAGTAACACTAAGCATATTTTCTCAATATACGTGTGATGACGTCCAGATTCACTACTAAAAAGTAAAATGACACGGTCGCATGCAATATAATTTATTCAACTATGAGTTGGGGTCGAATCCCATAGAGAACAATATGTAGGCGATTAGGAATGTAAGAGAATTACCTTTTGTTATGCAATGCCAAACACTTAGAATTATTTTGAGAAAATATTTATATCTGAATGCGGAAATGTAAACTAACCTAGAAAGCAAGTAAAATGATCAATGACTACAAGTATGGATACACAGGGAATTACACTCAAGTAACGATCCAATGTATTTCACAATTTGACAAATATGAGCGAGCTTATGTTAATTAGCCTCGGATAATAATTCTATATTAGCTTCCAAAGACTAACATGGCTTCCTAATTATTCCTAAAACAATTAAGAGATTAAGCACACCGATTACGGCAACAAGTAGTTCAATCCTATCCCTAGGTAGAATCTATAAAATGAGGGTTAAAGCCTCAAGTTCTTGTTAATTAATCTTTCCCAACCCCAAATAGTCTTTCCCAAAATTAATTCTAAGTTAATGGGCGAGTCCTAGGGTTAGATAATCCCTTTGGAAACATTAAAGAACAAGAATAATTAAAGAAACAATAACTCACTTCATAAAAAATAAAAATCATTCAATACATAAGCACAATAAGATATTTAATCCACACTTTAAACATGAATATTTCCATAAACAAGATTCAAGTGTTGAAATAATACTACACACTTTAGATATACAATACCAAGCAAGGAAATGAAGAAATGAGCATAAATGGGTAAGATTTTCTCAACCCAAAACTTCAAATCTTCAAGACTCAAGTGTGTGTGCAAGAACCCTAGCTCCAAAACTTGTTCTCTCTAGTCTAAAGACTGAAAGTTAAGCCAAAGATATCCCAAAAGATATGCTAGGTCGTGTATTTGTGGGTTTGGAGTTGAGAAGATGTGAATTTCCAAGTTTGCCCAGGTTTGAAGCCCGTTGACTGCACCTGCACATGTATCATCGCAGGTGCGTCTCCGCAGATGCGGATCGCCTATCGCATATGCGACATTTGATGAAGTCAGGCTACTCCGCAGAAGCGGACAAATCACCGCAGAAGCGCTCCGCAGATTCGGGTGGAGTCTCGCAGAAGCGACATTTGGTGAAGTCAGGCTACTCCATAGAAGCAGACAAATCTCCGCATAAGCAATTATTCAACCGCAGATGCGGTCCAGCGAAAGTTGCATAATTCCGCAGATGCGCCACATTTCTCGCATGTGCGAAGTCGCATATGCGAATTGTGTTCCGCAGATGCGGAATCACTGAAGAATTTTGCACTTTTGTTACTCTTTTTTCTCAACCCCGCTTCAATTGAATTCAAATCACTTCATGGCATCATTTACCTAAAAATCTAACAATACACACCATAAACGACCTCATATTATAACTAAAGGATGCAAAATCTAAAGAAAAGAGACTAGAATGAGTGGTAAAATCACCACTCATCAAAACCCCAACTTAAAGCTTTTGCTTGTCCTCAAGCAAATCAAAACCAACAATTCATTGAGGTTCTACCATTTAAAGCACGAGTAGTATTGTTATCATTTACAAATCACATTCTCCAATTAAGCACCATACTTATGGATTTGGTTGGTACTATAATTAGGCTCAAGCACGTGAATCTTAACCAAATAACTCTCTCATTTAAAAACACTTTCAAACATTGCAAAGGAAAGAAACAACAGAAACAACATACCCAGTAAAATCCCGCTAGTGGGGTCTGGGGAGGGTAGGATGTACGCAGATCTTACCCCTACCCCGGAAGGGTAGAGAGGCTATTTTCGGGAGACCCTCGGCTCAACAGAAGAGATAATAATTTCAGAAAAGAAACGAAAGAAGTGATCTGTAACAACAAAAGAACCAAGAGAAGTAATAATAATATCTTAAAATACACCAACTAAGTGAAAGGGAGTGCAATAATATAATCATATGCAAAATAACAAAATAGTGTGAACACAACATAGACCGCTACCAGACATAGGCAAAACTCTATCAGCCTACCCGGTACAAAGAGCGAAAAACTATGAACTACCCCCTAGCCTACAACCCTAATGCTCGACCTCCACGCTTTCCTATCAAGAGCCATGTCCTCGAAAATCTGGAGTCGCGCCATGTCTTGCCTGATCACCTCGCCCCAATTCTTCTTAGGCCGCCCTCTACCTCTTCTCGTACCTGCCAAAGCCAACCGCTCGCACCTCCTAACCGAGGAATCTATGGTTCTGCTCCGCACGTGCCCAAACCATCTAAGCCTCACTTCCCGTATCTTGTCGTCCACGGGAGCAACGCCCACCTTCTCCCTAATATCTTTATTCCTTATCTTATCCAGTTTAGTATGCCCGCACATCCATCTCAATATCCTCATCTCGGCTACTTTCATCTTCTGGATATGTGAATTCTTAACTGGCCAACACTCAGCCCCATATAACATAGCCGGCCTAACCACCGCTCTGTAGAACTTACCTTTGAGTTTCGGTGGTACCCTCTTGTCACACAGGACTCCAGATGCTAACTTCCATTTCATCCACCCCACCCCAATGCAGTGCGTGACATCCCCATCAATCTCCCTATCTCCCTGGATAATAGACCCTAGGTACTTGAAACTTTCTCTCTTGGGGATGACTTGTGAGTCGAGCCTCACCACCCCGTCCGCTTCCCCCGATACGCCACTGAACTTACACTCTAGTTTTCCGTCTTGGTCCTACTCAACTTGAAACCTCTGGACTCCAAAGCCTGCCTTCACACCTCCAGTCTCTCATTATCACCGGTACGCGACTCATCGATCAGAACTATATCATCAGCGAACAACATACACAATGGCACCTCCCCTTGAATATGGTGTGTCAAGGTATCCATCGTCAGAGCAAATAAGAAAGGGCTAAGCGCAGATACTTGGTGTAACCCCATAATCACCGAAAAAAGCTCGGAGTCACCTCCCGCAGTCCTGACCCGAGTCTTAGCTCCATCATACATATCCTTTATCGATTCAATGTATGCTACCAGCACCCCTTTCACTTCCAGGCATCGCCAAAGAACGTCCCTAGGGACCCTGTCATACGCCTTTTCTAGGTCAATAAAAACCATGTGCAAATCCCTCTTCCTCTCCCTGTGTTGTTCCACCAACCTCCTTATAAGTTGGATAGCTTCCGTAGTAGAACGTCCCGGCATGAACCCGAACTGATTTTCCGAAATAGATACTGCCCTCCTCACCCTTCCTTCCACCACCCTCTCCCAAACTTTCATGGTATGACTTAACAACTTGATGCCCCAACAATTGTTACAATTCTGGATATCACCTTTGTTCTTAAACAAAGGAATCATCAAACTACATCTCCACTCATCTGGCATCCTCTTCGTCTTGAAACTAACATTAAACAGCCCAGTCAGCCATTCTAAGCCCGCTCTACCCACATACCTCCAAAATTCTACTGGAATCTCGTCTGGTCCTGTCGCTTTGCCCCGATTCATCTTACCCACAGCTCCCACTACCTCCTCAACCTTGATACACCTACAGTACCCAAAGTCACGGTGACTCTCGGAGTGTCCCAACTCCCCTAGCACGATGCTACCACTCCCCTCTTCATTCAGAAGTTTATGAAAGTACGCCTGCCATCTATGCTTAATCTGGGAGTCTTCCGTCAATACTCTACCTTCCTCGTCTTTGATGCACCTCACTTGATCCAGATCACGAGCCTTCCTCCCTCTCGCTTTGGCCAGCCGAAATAGCTTCTTGTCCCCACCTTTGCCCCCTAGTTCCTCATACAACCGATCAAACGCGGTAGTCTTAGCCTCTGTGATCGCTAATTTTGCCTCCTTCCTAGCTTCCTTGTACCTTACTCTGTTTGTTCTCCTCTGCTCCTATCGGTACTCTCCACTAACGCGAGGTACGCCATTTTCTTTGCTTCCACTTTACCTTGGACCACATCATTCCACCACCAGTCGCATCGGTGCCCGCTATAGTAGCCCTTCAAGACCCCTAACACCTCTCTTGCCGCCTCCCTAATACAGTTTGTCATCGCCGTCCACATAGCGCTAGCATCCCCACTACTCTTCCAGGCACCCATAGCCACCAGCCGCCCCTCCAACTCATGCACAGTATCCTTAGCCAAAGCACCCCACTTGATCCTCGGTTGAACCCGTACAAACCTCTTCTTCCTCTTTATCATGATACCAACGTCCATCACCAGGAGCCTATGTAGAGTCGCGAGGGTCTCACTCGGGATCACCTTACAATCCTCGCATAACCCCCTATCACACCTCTTGAGGAGGATATAATCAATCTGGGTCTTAGCCACAAGAAGTGACTCAAAAGCATTAGTCTACTACATATGCTCAATCTACTCAATTCGGGAAAATGCAATCTCACCAATCCATCCTAGTTCATGTGCCCTCACAAGAAAGAAAGTCCCAAATCACCATATTTACAATAACACACAAGGGAAAATTGCACAAAGACACTCACTCTCAACAAAGAATTTCAAGTGTTACAAAATATCATGCCATAAGCTTGCCCTTATTTTAATTCGCCGCCTATTCAAGAACATTCGGTTGGAGATCCCATAAGGACTTTTTAAGCTTGTAATGCAGGTTTAGGGAAGGGTCGGACAAGCATTTGGGATACAAGTGACTACTCCCTCCTTGACACTACTCACATTTGTCTTTCTTTTTGCACTTTGCTTCTTTTTTTAAATCGCATAGCCCTTCTCGGCATCTAGCTACCAACATAGAACCACCTTAAAGTACCTCTCTAATTTTCTCAAGACTCCATATTTATATATGTACATATTTTTATCTCTTTTTTTATTAATTTTTTATTTTTTATAACTATTTTATTTTGGAGCTTGAGTAATTTCATATGAACACTTTGAGGTATATGTTTCTACACTCAATGTACAACCTTACCAATTTACAACATGACACCAACACCCCCAACTTAGGCTTTTAGCCTCATTCTCAATATTCAAGGAGGGACGGGTTCAAAAGAGGAAATTATTTTACAAAAGGGTAAAGGTCTGTAATGAGGTGGCCAAAGAAAAGGTTAAAGACTCAAATAGGGCAAACTAGTGATAATATTTATGCAATGGTAGGCTTCAAAGGTTAAAGAGGCTTTTTCAGAGATCACAAAGAATGCCTAAGGTCATCCCTCCAACCAAACATAACTAACATTAGCATTGAAAGACCGGGCAAGTTCTAGAAGATATAAGTAAACACAAGAATTATTTTTAATAAAAACTAACACACATGGCACATGAACTAATCAAGACGGATCAATTTCACTTTTTAATAAGAGCATTTAGAGCAATATTATGCCAACTAGTGGGAAGAGAGTCACCAAAAGAGCCAAAAAGTTATCACACAAATTATTCTTCCCCATGCAACTTACTTTTTCAATTTAAAACCAAAATTCGGAGGGGTATTCTTAATTCACATGTCACATACAAGAGACTAATTCTATTAGTACCTAATAATCCAAAAGTCTCCACATAACAAAACAAGACTTATTCCCTTAAGAAAGTCGTCACGCCATCCATCATAGGGAAAAGTCACCCAGTTCAACACAAAAATGTTCCTCGGGAAAGAACCGTAGCACAAAAAAAACCAAGGAAATACTACTAATGAAATAAAAATGAAATAATGAAAACTACTAAAGGGAATAAATAACAAAAGCAACTAATACCAAAGGAGCAAAAAGAACATAAACTAAAAACTACTAAAGAATAAATAAAGGAAGAAAGAAAAATAAACTAGAACAACAAAAGTGACTAATCTGCACATATATAACTACTCACAACTACGCTCGGCAAGAGCACATGATAAGCAATAACAAAACAATCCCGGCAAGGGCACACAATATCCATACAACAGAATAAGCACGACAAGGGCACAAGTCAAGTATCAATGTATAAACAAAGTGTACTCCCTAAAGCCACCCCCAACTAACAGCATTGCAGTGTCCTCACTACACAATATCAAAATAAAAATACAAGTAGTTTGAGGGTCTCCCTGAGGTATGCATCAGACTAGCAGACTCCGGGAGGAAGGCTAATCACTACCGTGAAGAACTTGCAGCATCATCATCATTGGTATCATCAGCATCATCACCGGTAGCATTTCACATGAAAGAATAATCTTCGCTACCATCGTCGTTCTCAACTGGTATCTTCCTGTTCGGCTGCCCCCATTTGAAGATGGCCTTGATGCCTCTCCACATCTTGATCATAAACTTACCCTTCTTCTTATTCTTCACATTCTCCTTTTGGAAGTCTGAATGAAGATCTGCATGTGCCTTGGCTAAGTTGCCATAGGCTGACTCGAGTCTGTCAACAGTAGCTGCCATCTTCTCATGAGACTCTACCTGCTTTTTCTGTGAATCCAGGTAAGCCTTCATTTCTTCCCTGGAGAAATAGGCGGGCGTAGGCTGGGAGGATGAGGGCCCACTAGGGAGCTATGACACTAAGTCACGAATGGATGCAAGCTGGGAGTTTAGCACCTAAATGGTCCCTCAGGCACAGCTGCCTGCGCTATGACTCTGGTCCGGCAATAGTAGTGGTGACTTTCCTCTTCTTGCTCTTTACTGCACTACCCTCGCCTGTTACTCTCAACAGATGAAAGGGTTTGTCGGCTGGAAACCAACGATCGGTGTTGCGCACCTCAACCTCTGCCAGCCTACACAACTCTGTTGATCAGTGAAGCAAATATCAACCTTGAATTGTCGTCTAGCAAATACTCTCTCAGCTCACGCAGGATATAATGGCCGACATTCACCGGAATGCTGTCAAGAAGGCATGCAATGATCAAGCTCTAGTGTATGATACATCTAAGAGATTTTCACAGGGTGATACCCTGTTGCAGAGGATGTAGAGCCACATTTTACCTTCAGCTGTGAAGTCGATCGACTTCAAACCCCTTCTCTTGTTGGCCCATTTTGATATCATGCTTGTGGGATAGAGTTTAGACACAAGCCATCCTGCGTTGTTGCAATGATCTTTTTCTAGCACTGGCTCGAGTGGATGGTCAGGAATCCCGAGTATGTCATTATTCTGCTCAGTCCCAAACCTCACTATCTTACCCCTTTACGGTGAGTTGTAGGTCGGCAAAGTTTGTATGCTTAAGATTCGCGTAAAATTCATGAACCCACTCCTCATTGGCTTTGCACGGAGTAGGAATGAAGCATGACCATCCGAAGGTTTGTAGACGGTCGTAGAATTCTTGAAGCAGCTCGCCAATTTATCCTCGGCGATCCCTTTTTCAAGAACTATCTTTTTGGTGAGGAGGTTGTCATAATACCGTCGGTAATAATCAGCCAACATGAAGCGTTACTGGTCAAATTGTTCATCCACAGCTTTCTCCTCAATATTATGATCAAGTGAGGCATTTTCGTTCATGTTCGGGTCCATTATAGCTCAGAGTACCTTCAAAAAAGATCAAAACAACGTTAGTCGGGTAGTAGTATCATGTGAGGCAACTTAAAGCAAAAATTAGGCTAAAGAATCGAGTCGAACGGGCCCGGGAAGCTCCAGACGCAAAGCTACTGAAATTTGGAATTCTGCCCAATTTCCGCACTTGCGGAAAGAGCATCGCAGGTGCGGTCCCGCTTCTGCAGTTTTTGCCCATCTCACCAGAGTTCGCACCTGTGGAACAGTCAACGCAGGTGCGAGGCCACATCTGTGGCACTTTTTCCGCTTCTGCGGTGTTCATCCAAGGGTTCAAACGCCCAGAATTTTTCAACACTTTTCACTTCTTAAACATGATTTTGGCACCTAATTTATACTCAAGACTTCTAAATTAGTGCAATACAATTGATTAACATGATTTCAAGGCACTTAGCAACAACATTTCTTTCGGACGATTTTTGTCGAACACATTACGGACATAGATAATGCTATGCTTCTTCAACCTACTTTGGTACTCAGACTTCCCAAAAATTTTGTTCTTCATAATTAGCCGCACACACAAACCTACTCTCAACCAATTTCCTCACCCTGCCATCAACATTAATCAGAGGGAAATGGGGAATCAGGGGAAACGACCATGGGAACTCAGAAATAAGGAAGAAGAAGAAGAAAAGAGAAGTAGAAGGGAGGAGTAGATGAGAGATACATGTGTTGTCTTGTGTGAGAGCGGTAGAAATCAAGAGAAATGGAGAATTTGAGTATGTGAGAGATGGAGTGTTGATACCCAATTTTTTTCTTATATATATATATATATATATATATATATATATATATATATATATATGCACTCTCTCAAAAGAGTGCATACACATCATCATTTGATTTATAAACACACACATGTATTTTACATAAATTTTCATAAATTTTAAAGGCTTTAAATCAATTTATTCCTGTATTTTTATTATATATAAATACCCAATAATTATCCTCCAAATTATTTTATGATTATTTAATCATCTAAACTCATCATTCATACCAGCATAATGTTTAAATATTTTTTAGTGCATTTTTATAATTACATTTGCATTTTTAGGGCTAAATTGCACATTTTTGCAATAATAGCCCATATGCATATATAATTACATTATTTATGCAAAAAATGACTTTTTATATTTTTATAATGTTAAGTAATTATTTTTAATCATTTTAGTGCACAAATGATATTTTGATATTTATTAATTACTTCTATGAATTATTTATTTATTAAAACATTGGGTATTTAATATCTGGCCCCAAATTCACCTTAATTTCGGACCTAAACTACCCAGACCTTGGCCCAATAACCCCCAGCCCAATCCTAAGCGATCCAACCCAGTCCAAAACCGACCCCAACCCTTCTCAAGTCCCAGCCGTTGATAAAAAATGATCAACGGCTCACAACACCTTTCCCCCTTTTCTTATGTCACCTGACCCCAAAACTTAATCCCCATTTCTCTTCAGTCGCCGCCTTCAAACACCTCTCCCTCTCACAGAAACCCTAGCCGCCTCTCAAGAAACCTCTCCGAATCCATCTCAACCATGGATTTTTCCATGATTCTCTTACCTTTTGAGTGTTATATAACAATCTCCTACGAATCTATGGTATCTCCTAGTACTTGCCTAAACATGAAAAGTACTATATCCCATTTCCCTTTTGACCGCTTGAATCTGGACATGAATCTCGTCGATATACTTCACAACCATAGCTATATGGATCCAATTAGCCGAGATTTCGGCCAATCTTCCAC